GATAAATTCTAGACGGACTAGTGCTGAGTATGAAAATGGAGTGCAGGGGTTTCTAGAATTTGCCCAGAAAAATCTTCCTGACAGTAATAATAAATATTATTGTCCATGTGTTAAATGCATAAACTTGCGACAACTGCATGTTGAGCTTATACGAGAGCATCTTATTTGTGATGGATTTTGTAAAAGCTACACAAAGTGGATTAGGCATGGTGAGTCAGTTGAAATGCCAAGTATGTCTTCACACAATGAGGAAGTTCGTTGAGATACGTATGATCATATGGATGACATGATACGTGATTTCGGTGTTGAGTCATTCGCACGAGCGCATGTATATGATAAGTTGTGTACTGACGCTGAGTTGCCATTGTATCCGGGTTGCACTAAGTTCACACGGTTGACAACAGTGTTAAAACTTTTCAATATCAAAGCAACAAATGGTTGGACTGATAAGAGTTTCACTGAGTTGCTCCAGTTATTAAAAGACATGCTACCAGAAGGTAACACATTACCTGATCGGAATTACGAGGCAAAGAAGATCTTGTGTCCGATGGGTATGGAGTACAAGAAAATACATGCATGTCCTAATGACTGTATACTCTATCGAAAAGAGTATGAAGACCTCCACAAGTGCCCTACTTGTGGAGTGTCACGGTACAAAGTTAAGAGCGATGAATGTGATTCTGAAGTGGTGACTACAAAGGGTTCCCCTGCAAAGGTGCTATGGTATCTTCCCATTATTCCGAGGCTAAAGCGACTGTTTGCCAATGCAAATGATGCAAAGAAACTGAGGTGGCATGCAGAAGAAAGGACATTTTCGGTGCACTCTTTTTCCCTCATTAGGATTTTTTCCCACAGGGTCTTTCCTAATGAGGTTTTTAACGAGGCATCCCCCCAAAATGAAACGAAAAGCGTCAGCCTTCGGCCCAAAACAACAACGCAACTACTCTACTCCTTTTCACCACTTTGCAAGTGCCTCAAGGAGTGGGGGACTGGAGGACCCCCTCGGGAAAAATCACAAAAAACACAAACATGACCCCTCAAGTCCCGACATGTGGGTAACTGAGGGACTGCCCTCGGCAGAATAAACAAACAACAAACTACCCACAACTCTACAAACTACAAACGGAACAACGGCAGAGGACAAACACAAATTACTCCTTTTCCCTCAAGTACCTTTCGGCAAAAGGAGTGAGGGACTCCTGATGGAGTATATGGCCCGGGAACCCCCGATCCACAGACTCCTACTACTCCAATAAAGGCCCAACAGGCCCAGAAAGCACAACGGGCCCAAATCACGGCGCCCAAGATACCAAGCAACCCACAAATGCGCACCAGGGGTGCCTTCGCCCCCTGGCCGAAGGCTCTAACTCTCACAGGAGGGCCAAGACAGCAAAACAAAGTTACTGGGGAAAACGGCGAAAATCAGTAGCCCCCGGCACCTGGAGCCCTCGGCACCAAGGGGGTCCCCGGTACTCAGAGCCCTCGGCTAGTCCTCTACAGCCGAGGGCACCTTTCCCGACATGATATCCGCGCCATATGCGTACAGATCACCGTACCCTGTACAACGTCCCATCCAATAGCCGCATTAAATGCGGCCACATGCGGTTGCCAGCGCCAACCAGTTGAGGTGACCTCTCGGCCAATGGACGCTTGACACGTGTCCCTGTCCGGCATTTATTGCTACTATAAATAGCACCCCATTTCCCCATTTGTAACCAAGTCACAAGTCATAACACACTGAATACTTTCTCTCTCTATACTTACTTGCTCTGACTTCTCTCTAGTTATTCCCCGTAATAACCCCTCGGATAAGCTACCCCCCGGGTACACTATCCATCACATATATAGACACAGAAACATTCACAAACACATACTCCATATATGTAATATAATATGTGGGGGTCACCTCATACGCGTACCCATAGCCCTAACACCTACTCGCCCTATACCCATACCACCCCTACCCCTACCATGAGAATGAACTTACCCTCTACCCCCACTCCCATACAACCCCATACCCCTAACCCTACCCTGCTCGGATCCCCGACCCCCTGTACCCCCCACCCCCTTACACCCTACCTCGTAGTCGTACCCTTACCCCAACCCCTTACCTTGACCAGTAGGTTCGTACCCCTACCCCACCCACTAATCCCTACCCTGCGGGTTCTAGTAGGGGTAAGGGTGAGGGGTAGGTAGGGGTAGGGGTAGTGTATGGGTAGGGGGTAAGGGTACGCAATGCTACAGGGTTAGGGGTAAGTAGGGGTATACCTGGTAGGGTACGAGGTTGAGGTATGGGGTAAATGGGTTGGGGTGGGGTAGAGGTAACAATAGGGTAAGCGCAACGGGTAAGGTTAATTCGGAAACTGAAAAAGCTTAAAGTGCCACTTAATTAATACATGAGGTGGTATTCTTAGTAAGCGGCACTTTAAGCACCTCTTTCGGTTAGTAAGCAGCTTTTTAAACAGCTTGTATGTTTACTTCATCTGTCTTACTGACCTAATCGTGACTTTAACAACGAAGTAAACACGTCCTAAGTCTTTTTTATTATTAAACATTTTGAAGTATTACTGTCATGCATTAGATTAGAAAAAATAAATAAATTAGGCCCACTATGATGATCTGTCCCTAGGCCTTGAAACTATCAGGACCGGCCCTGATGCTTAGTGATGATTAGTTAACGCGTTGACAATAATTACTACTAGAAATGAGTAATCAATCGTGATTAATCATTGATGGTTTTACGAGTAGTAACTTTGAGATAATAATGCATGGTCGTATGGTTGGTACTCTCAAGAGCAATTAATTGCATGTGTTGGTTGAATCGAAACCGTTGTGTTGAGGTTATCAATCTCAATTGATTTCATCAAGGAGTTAAGAGATAAAATGTTACTATCAAGTCGGTATATGACAATGTTCTATACTTGGCTACTAGTAACAGTTGTTAATGAACGGTCTCGTTATTAATAACTATCATTGATAAATCGGAGATTCTCCACGATTTAGTATTCGAGAGGGGACATTCATTTCCCTTTACAGAAAAATTTATGTGGTTAGCATTCACTTAGTTTTATCTTACTCAATCACAATCATACATTTTCATTATATTTAATTTCGTAATAAGCCCGTCAAGTAAAATCGGGAAGATTTTTTGGAATCGAAAGAGTATATATTTTAAATTATAGTAATTGCTCTAAATAGGGTTAAACACTTGCTTAAAAATGACAAATAGGACTACACCCCTAAATCATTCACAAATAAGACTAAACATTAATTTTCTACCCTAAATACCCCTAAGAGTATTAATTCATAATAAAATCGTAAAAAATAATAAAAAATTATAGAAAAATAATAAACATTTAATAGAATATTTGTAAAATAAAAATTTTAAAAAACATTTTTTTTATAATTTCTTTTTTATAGTTAATAAAAATAGTAAAAACCAATAGAAAACAAAAAAAACATATGGATGCCCTTCCCACCGTCTTCCACCACATACCACCACCTTCGATCGGTGAAAAAATGCCATTTTTCCTAAAAATGTCAAAAAATGACATTATTACTCTTGAAAATGTCAAAAGTTTCAATGAAACTGCCATAAATATGGCATTAGTAATGCATGTTGGCATTTTTTCTGCGGTGGTCAGAGCTGGTGGTGGCAAAGGCGGTGGTGTATTTTTTTGTTTTAATTTTTTTTTTTTAAAATCATTTGTTTGAAATTTTTATTTTATAAATATTTTATTAATTTTTGTATTATTTTTTATGACTTATTTTTGCAATGATTTATTATGAATTAAATCAATTCAAAAGTTTGGGATATTTTGATCAAACTCAAAAATGATCAAATTGGTCAATTTTTGAAAAGTAAGCGTGTTTATGGGATACTTTTATTAAATCAATTATTTATCCAACCACAAATAATTTGTCATACAAGAAAATTTAAATCAATGTAATTTTAAGGGTGTTTCTACGGTGCACTTCTTAATTTGGTGTTTTTGATACACATCCTTTTTAACCACTCATCCCATTATATCTTAATCTTACGCCACCTAATATCCTCATTAACTAAACATAATAATTTGCCATTTTTGCATTTAGATCCTTCACCGGATTAGAAAAAAAAGGTTAAACTGAACAAAATCGTCAAAGGAGATTTATTTAAATAGGAATAAATAAATATTTAATTGTCAAAGTATGTGCAATGTTTAAAAGTATTCTAAATAGGAATTTGGCCTACACTGACGCCGACGCCCGGTCATATCTGGGTGTCACCGATCTGACCACCGACATTGCACATCTTGCCATGAACTACCACCGTACATCTGACCAGATCTGGCCACGTCGACCGTCGGCGCTAAAGATCCGACCTCTACCGCTAAACATTTGGCCTACACTAACGCCGACGCCGCAGATCTAGATCACCGGCATAGGGAACTAGGGGGCAATTGTTTATAGGTTTAAATATGATTAAGTCCCTGCAATTTTTTTTATGTTTTTCATCCTTGTGTTATGCATTATTTTGTTTTTAGTATATATCACTAAAAAATTTCATCCCTATAATTTTTTTGAGGAAAATATGAGAGTTAAAAAAATAAAAACTAATCACTCACATTTTTAAAATACGTATTAAATTCCATTATTATCATCGGCGAAAGACTAAAAGAAAAACTAACATACATTTTTGAAATGAAAAAAAAAAATTGCAGGGATACTATGTTTGCAGAGACTGAAAAAGTATTTAAACCTTAATTATATTAGGAAGGACAAATATGGTATAAAAGTCCTATTTAAAAAATAAAAATATACATAGTCCTATTTAGAAATTTAAGAAACAATTCAATCATATTTAGGCTAATAACTCAATCCTCACAACAAGTCGTTAATCATATTTAGTAGCACAATACTAAAATGTGATTGGATAAGAAAATGTGTGTACCGGTGTACTCAAAATATAGGAGTGCAGCGTAGAATTTTTCTAATTTTTCTAATTTTAATTGTGCTTACCCGGAAGTAGGTGATGGATCGGATGGATATTCGGATGTCGTTGATTCAGCAGCTTTTGAAGTTGCGTACGTAGATTCACTTTTTTCTTCTCTTTCCAGTGACCAGTAAAAAGCACTCTTTCTTTAGGCTCACCAACCCCGTGGCACCATTCGCCTTCTGATTCATGCCACCATAAACAACACTACAGCGAAGATTGCCAACCCACGAGATGGATCGTGCTCGTAAGCTCGCCAACCGCCCAATTCTACGCCGGCTGATTTCAGAAGCAAATCAGCTTCGCGCGGCAGCCCAAAAGCCGACCCCCTCATTCTACATGCCGGCTAGGTACCGCTCCTCCCTGACCAAACACGCATTCCGCACTCGGATCGCTGACCCCTGCGCGTCCTGGAAAGGATTTCACGCTCAGCAGGCCCGCTCCATCTCCGTCGAGTCTCTGAAACCCAGCGACTCCTTCCCGCGCCGCCACAATTCTGCCACCCCGGATGAGCAATCCAAGATGGCAGAGTTTTGCGGCTTCCCGAGTCTAGATGCTCTCATCAATTCCACTGTGCCTCAGGCGATTCGTATCGAGTCCATGGAATTTCCCAAATTCGACAACGGGCTCACAGAGGCTCAAATGATCGAGCACATGAGGGATTTGGCCTCAAAGAACAAGGTTTTCAAGTCATTTATAGGAATGGGGTATTACAATACCTTCGTGCCTCCTGTGATCCTGAGGAATATTATGGAAAACCCCGGTTGGTATACTCAGTATACACCCTACCAGGCTGAGATTTCACAAGGCCGTCTGGAATCCTTGCTGAATTTTCAAACCATCATCACAGATCTCACAGGTTTGCCCATGGCCAATGCGTCTCTGTTAGATGAAGGCACTGCAGCTGCAGAGGCAATGGCTATGTGTAATAACATCCAAAAGGGAAAAAAGAAAACTTTTGTTATTTCCAGTAATTGTCATCCCCAAACTATTGATGTGTGTAAAACCAGAGCTGATGGGTTTGAGATTAAAGTAGTGACTGCTGATGTTAAGGACATTGATTACCAGCTTGGGGACGTTTGTGGAGTTTTGATTCAATATCCAGGGACTGAGGGAGAAGTTTTGGACTATGGGGAATTCATCAAGAAGGCACACACCCATGGGGTGAAGGTTGTAATGGCCACAGATTTGTTGGCTTTGACAGTGTTGAAACCTCCAGGTGAATTTGGTGCAGACATTGTTGTTGGTTCGGCTCAGAGGTTTGGTGTTCCCATGGGGTATGGAGGTCCTCATGCTGCTTTCTTGGCCACATCCCAAGAGTACAAAAGGATTATGCCCGGGAGGATAATTGGGGTTAGTGTTGATTCGTCGGGGAAGCCGGCTCTGCGTATGGCAATGCAGACTAGGGAGCAGCATATTCGTAGGGATAAGGCTACCAGTAACATTTGCACTTCTCAGGTTTTGCTTCACTATTCATTTCATTGTAGAGTACATTGTTGGTCCATTTAGTTACTATTTACTAATTCATTGAATAGAAGAAATTGCTTGATGATCTATGGTTTTAGGTGTAAGTTTTTCTTTTTGCAAATTCAGAAAGCACGGTTTGATGTAAAAGTGCTTTTGGCAAACTGATTTTTGGAAAATGTAGCTTTTTATTACATTTAGCTTTTCCAACCAAGTTGTGGCAAATTTCAACAAATTGTTAGGGAAAAGTAGCAAATAAGCCCTCGAACTAACTTAAAAAGTACAAATCACCCCTTTTATAGGAGTCTCTGTCCGGCCGTCGCCATTTGGGGCGGTTCCCGGTGGAATTTTTTGATGAATTTTTTTAAGCATCTTCTTCATTAAGTCTAGTTTACCCATAACAAATTTCAGCTAAAAATTCAACCGGGAAGGTAGTCAAATGATTTTCTGAAATATACTGCGCTGTTTAACTGCGCAGTCATCTTCAAAAATTTATTCGACTGCCTTCCGGATTGAATTTTTAGCTGAAATTTGGTATGGGTAAACTAGACATAATGAATAAGATGCTCAAAAAAATTCATCAAAAAATTCCACCGGAAACCGCCCCAAATGGCGACGGCCGGACAGAGCCTCCTATAAAAGGGGTGATTTGCACTTTTTAAGTTAGTTCGAGGGCTTATTTGCTACTTTCCCCTTATAATACCTCACATCACTAAACAGGCTTTCAGAAAAATATAATCAAAATTTAGTTTTAGTTGATACAATTTCGCTTTCACCAAACTAACTTCATACAATGGGCTATACTCAAATGAAGTTACCAAATTGAAATCCAAACCCAGTAACTACACCAGTGGAAGTTCTCTAATCATATCATCTGCTTATAAGTTACGTAGTATAACTGATTCATTTGGATTCAATCCCATCAATTCTTTATATTGTCATGAAAGCAATGGTTAGTGTATCTGCCTGTTTGGAATCCTCGTAGAAAGCCATTGTGGTTTTGAATTCTGAAAGTGCTTTTGACTTTCAAAAGCTGTTTGTTTTATGGCGTACTTTTTTATGACTTTCAAAAGTACATTCCTGCTGTAACTACAAGTGCTCTCGGCAAATACCTATCTCATAACTTTTAAGCTGACTTGGAAATTCCAATATTATCCAAATACCTTTTGCTTTGCAAATCTGACTGTTGAGGAATTATATCCAAACACTAATCTTATTAACATCAATTTACTTTTACCGCACTAACAATAATAAATGGATTTTCCGCAAACAAGCTTTTAGCAATCTGGAGTCCAAACACACTCTAAGTTGGAGCTGCATTGTAGGCGTTGCTAGCCAATATGGCTGCTATGTATGCTGTTTACCACGGACCAGGAGGGCTTAAAACAATTGCCCAACGTGTTCATGGTCTTGCTGCAGCTTTTGCTTCCGGATTGAAAAAGCTCGGGACTGTGGAAGTCCAAAGCCTTCCCTTCTTTGACACAGTGAAGGTTGTGTCTACTGAAGCAAAAGCAATTGTGGAAGCTGCTTACAAAAACAGGATTAACCTGAGGATTGTGGACAACAATACTGTAAGTAGGGATTGTCTAATATGCTCTTTAAAGCTGCTACTTACATTACAAAGTTAAATGGAATGGCATTGCTTTTCAGATCACTGTTGCTTTTGATGAGACGACCACTTTAGCAGATGTTGACAAGCTATTTGAAGTTTTTGCTTGTGGAAAACCCGTAAGTGTACTGCTTTTTTTTCCCATTGTGGTAGGAATATTAATTTATTTGTTCTTGTAAATTATGTTTTTGATGTGAATTGCCAGGTGCCATTCAGTGCCCAGTCTATTGCACCGGAGGTTCAATACGCAATTCCTTCTTCTCTTGTAAGGGAGAGTCCATATTTGACACACCCAGTATTCAACATGTATGGCCTTTACCTATTGAATGCTGCTTACTCCTCCCGTTCAAAAATAACTGTCATTATATAGCATTATGACTATTATACCCTTCATTATTGCATTAAAGATATATGAAGTGTTACAGAGAACTATAATTATGGAAAGTCAGAAATGAGTAATGATCTTGTCCAACCAGTTGGACAGGACCTCCGTCCGTCCGGTGCCATTTGAGGTGGTTCCCGGTGGATTTTTTTTATGAAAGTTTGTGAGAATGTTCTTCATGACGTGTAGATTATGTCCACAAAATTTAGATAAAATTCAATTGGGAAGTCAGTTAAATAAATTATTGAAAAATACTGCACCAAAAAATATACTACATATATAGAAGTATAAAACACAGTGTTTTGCATATTTTATTTAACTAACTTCCCAATTGAATTTTAATCTGAATTTTTGTGGACAGAATCCACACTTCATGAAGAACATTCTCACAAAATTTCATCAAAAACTTCTTCGGGAACCACCTCAAACGACGGTGACCAAACAGAAGGTCCTGTCCGGACGGCTGGACAGGATCTTTTCCGAGTCAGAAATTAATACTCTCTTGTGCTATTTAGGATCTCTTTGGTAACAGCTGCATTGGCTGGAATGGCTGAAAAGCCTGAAAAGACTGAATTTGGTGAAGTGAAGGTGTTTGATAATATGTTGACTGAAATAGCTGATCGAGTGTAAAATTACTATAAAGGGTAAATGGGATTTTGGCAATTTTATATATATGGAGAAGTAATTACAGTCCTAGCATTGCATCATTTCCAATTCAATAAATAACACCATACCGGTTGATTTAAAGATAATTAAGGATTAAAAAATACTTAGCAAAGACTTGAGTCTGCGAACATAAAAATATGGAGAAGTCATGGGACATTATTGCACTTCAAATTATTTAGCAAAGAATTGTCTGTGAACATTAAAAATACGGAGAAGTCTGGGAACATTATTGCACTTCAAAATATTTAGCAACAACAACAACAACATCCAAGCCTTAATCCCAAAAGAATTTGGGGTCGGCTAACATGAATCGATCTATGATATCGATGCCAAAAAGAGAAGGCGGACAAGAAAAGGGAAAAAAAGTAAGATAAAATGAATAAAATAAAGATACATAAATATAAGATAACAATAACACAAGAATATAACCAAGATAAAAGAAAAATAAATAAAAGAGCATAAAAAAGCTAGAAGATAAAAATAACATAAGAATATAAAAAGATAAGGAAGATAATCGATAAAAGAAACAAGAGAGGAAAGGTAGACAAGACATCAATCGTCCACATGGATGTGCGCCTTCCACTTTGCTCTCTCCAAAGCCATACTCTCATCCAACCCAAGAAGACGCATATCAGTTCTGATTACTCTAATCCAAGTCTGTTTGGGTCTTCCCCTCCCTCTCTTCTCTGACTCTTCTCCCCACCCCTCAAGTCGTCTAACAGGTGCATCACTCGGTCTTCTATGCACATGCCCAAATCACCGCAAACGAGACTCCTGCATCTTATCTTCTATAGGTGCTACTCCCACCTTTTGTCTGATTACCTCATTCCTCAGGCGGTCTTTTCTGGTATGTTCACACATCCAACGCAACATACGCATCTCTGTCACACTCATCTTTTGAATGTGGCATTGCTTCACCGCCCAACACTCTACGCCATACATTAATGCCGGTCTAATTGCTGTACGATAAAATTTACCTTTCAGTTTAGTCGGCATACCTCTATCGCATAGAAATCCTGAAGCACTTTTCGACATCCATCTGGAAGGAAAAACAATTGCGAAAATATTTAACAAAGATTAGAAAATATGGAAGGAAGACACAATGGAAGGAAAATATAGTGCAGCCTTCTGGAACTTCGGAAGTGCTTCTCGACATCCATCTGGAAGGAAAAACAATTGCGAATTGAAGCAATGGGATGTATTATTGTATTACACGTAAAAGGGTAAAGGAGTATTTGTGGTGTCCAACAGTGAATTAATACATTTCAGCTCAAAAAGTAACCATATTGTTACTTTTTTGGCTGATACGAAAATTCAGCCCAACCAGCCTTATTTCTAAATTTGCCATGTGTTTGGCTATATTTCTAAATATTCAGGCTTATCAACCCATATTTGGGGTTCCAAACAGCCTCTTAGTATTGACGTTTATAGAACATTTTTTTCGCTAAAGTTGCGTAAGATCTTTTGGGACTAAGGCTTGAATGTTGTTGTAAGGTTGCGTATCATGAAAGCAGAATGTCTTGTTGTGGTAAAATGATTTTCTGGAAAATAAGTTCTACATATGATATAATATTTGATCAACAAAATAATCCCTCTTCATCTCCCCTCTTTCTTTATGTCTCATCCCTAAGTATCTTTTTTATTTCATCTCAAGGGAAGCACTTTGTGTTTCTTATTGATACTTTCCTCTCTAACTGAATCTCAGCCTCACAATTTTATTTTCTTAAATTCCAAGAAAAATGAAATTTTGAAGATAAAAATAGGGATGAGTGGAGTAGAAAGCATAAATTGTTTTAGGAAAATGACTCCTTTTTTACAATGAGTAGTCACTTTCCCTAAAAGATTGAAGTATCACCGAAAAATACCACAAAATCTTTACAGGAAAAAGTAATCTTGTGCCAAACACAGGACCCCAGGACGATCCAAAACGTTGCAATTATATTACTCGAGACAGATGGAGCCTTAGGAACGATTGTTTTGAGATGGAAGCATTATCAGCTTTCTGTTTGTTTGCATACTGTTTGACTGTTGTCTTGCTTTAGGTACCATACGGAGCATGAGTTGCTCAGGTACCTTCACAGGCTGCAAGCCAAGGATCTTTCTCTGTGCCACAGTATGATTCCACTTGGGTCCTGTACTATGAAACTGAATGCAACAACTGAGATGATGCCAGTGACATGGCCTGCCTTTGCAGATATTCACCCATTTGTGCCCACTGAACAGGCTGCAGGGTTCCAGGTTATTTTATTAGTTGAATTGTGATCCTAAAGTATTATTTTGTAGTATTTGTCTTTCAGTTGTAACTGACATTTTTAAACCCAGGAAATGTTCAATGATTTGGGTGAGCTATTGTGTACAATTACTGGATTTGATTCTTTCTCCTTGCAACCTAATTCTGGTGCATCAGGAGAGTATGCTGGATTGATGGTCATCCGTGCATATCATTTGGTACTAAATTCTATATCTAAGGAATCTCCATTTCGTGAAGACTTGAAAGTTTGATTTCTATCTTCAATTTTTTATTATTCTTGAGGGTGTAATTTAAAGACATACTTTCTTAGTAACTACTTCAGTTATGTGTGCCTCATGACAGAGCTAGAAAAAACATTGTATCCCAGTGAAATCACGTGCTGCCTGAATATATGGTGCTAATATACCGAGGGGAATGAACTAATGAACTTCTTCCAGTATAAATAAGTTTAACTTCCATATACTACCTCCGTCCCATTAGAAGGTTCCCGTCCACTATTCACATGGTCAACTTAAATCATTTTTAATCTTTTACTTTATAAATCAAATTTTTATCAAATTTACATTTTTTTATCAGGCTTTGTAGCAGTTTTAATGTAGTTTCTGAATATGTTAATTTTATTTACTAAAACTAATCAGAGTGTGAACAGAGATTAAGTTGCTTTATCGTCAGTCAAGCATCGTAAACCGTCAACGGGAACCTTCTAGTGGGACGGAGGGAGTAAGTTGTAAATATTAGATTGTTGGTTTTTCTGCTCCACTCTTCAATCCTGCAACATGCTCTTCTATCTCAAATTAAGCTTCCTAATCTTTCTATCAAAGCCATCACTCTAATCTTTCTGTTGTAGTGTGCCGATCTCCTGCTAATGTATACTAATCTTCTTGTTGAATTTTTATTTTGTTGTTGTATCTTAAATGCAGTCAAGAGGTGATCAGCACCGCAATGTATGCATTATACCCGAATCAGCACATGGAACAAATCCTGCAAGTGCCTCCATGTGTGGAATGAAAATTGTAGCTATTGGAACGGATGCAAAAGGAAATATTAATATTGAAGAGCTAGAGAAGGCTGCCAAGGCGAATAAGGATAACCTGGCTGCTCTTATGGTATATACGTTCTGTTAAATTGGTTTAGATTCTAGATGGTATATAAACTTTAGTACCGATTTTTGAGATCCCTAAATTGTTCATAAATTTTCACTCTAAAATGCATGTTTCAGGTTACTTATCCTTCAACACATGGTGTCTACGAGGAAGGCATCGATGACATATGTAAGATAATTCATGACAATGGTGGTCAAGTTTACATGGATGGAGCAAACATGAATGCCCAGGTGTTATACCACGGGAATTTTTATTTGTATGAAGTATTATATTTTGATGAATTGTTTCCCAACATCTGGTTTAGAGCTCGTTTGGTAACACTGGAATTGGCTGAATTGACTAAATCTGGTGAAATTGATGAAATTTTGCCGGAATTGACTGGATCTGCTGAATTGTGGAAAAGTTATATTTAAAATATATTTTATTAATAAAGTAAAGAAAACATTATATGAAAAATAGCTAAAATGGTCCTCTACAATAACTTCTGCAGCCATAAATGTAAGTAACTTCAACATCACTTATTCTGATCATTACACGATTAAGCGCGCAAAATCAATAGTTACGTGTTTGGTATAAAAAGTTGACCTATAAGTTTGATAAGTTGAAAATAGGTGTTAGCAAACGGGCTCTTAGTGTGAATGTGAGACTACTAAAAAGCTTTATTTTGTTTGTCAAAAGCACATAAAGGAATTTGTTTGTTCTATGAAGTCTGTGGAACATAAGTAGGATTTAGGATTGTTTCTTATGGTGCATCCTTTCATTTTATACCTGTAAGGGGTTGTTGAATGTGAAACTATAAATCCTTCCTCTTTAAGGTTCTATTGTAAGTCGTTGTTTTTAGCCAAAAAATAGAAACTATATTTCTTGCAACACTGCTAGCTGGATTTGTTAAAACATAGGATGGCAAATGGATAGATTTAATAACTTTTACTTGGATTTTAATGGATGGCTCGAAAAAAGTCTACTGGCCCATCAAGTATTGATTAGAAAAGTCTAATGAATACATGATTTATTTCATAAAATTCTGAAATCCATTCAATCATATCCATTGTCAAATGTATTTCTGATAGATATCCAATCCATTCATTTTTTTCTTGTTTAGAGATGGTTGTACAATGCAGACAATGATACTTAGGTATAGTTGTATATGTAGTACTTTAACAGAGTAATAATTGATTAATAATGGGAAAGCTCATTGGTTTCGGTGGATTCAGAAGATTTCAATATGTGATCATTAATTTAAAAAGTAGTAGATGAATCACTTACCATCTAATAAACTAATAGATAAATTGAATCCAATTTCTTACTACCTCTGCCCCACTAAGATTGAGACATGAGCTATGTTGCACGGAAATGTAGAAATCCTAGAGAAACGGGAAACGAGAAACGTATCTTTTAGTAAAAATACAACTATTAAAAGAGTTTCCGAAGAGTTTCCGTTGAATTTCTGAAAACGGAAACGTACTCTTTCTCGAGAGTTTCCATGCTTCATAGGACATGTGGACATGGATGTGATTATTAAGAAAGGTGGATTGTGTGGTTGACTGATTGGTATTGAGTTGATAAAATATGAATAAACTCAATAAAGTAAGAATGAATTAGAACAACACAAATATATTATTATCATTATTGTTGATGTTATTGTTGGACAGATCGGATAAAAATACTTTGGATGTATGGTAGACTAATGGACTCTTTCGATGCCCCCTAGTTAAGACTTAAAACTATTGAGTTCAGTTGCCTTTTTGTAATTAGACCAATTCAATGTGGCTTGTTAGTATTGTCTTTCCTGTAGGAGAAATTACCATAGTTATGAATTCTCTCATTGTCTAAGTTCTTCTCTTCTACAGGTTGGTTTGACAAGTCCAGGCTTTATTGGAGCAGATGTTTGCCATCTTAATCTCCACAAAACATTCTGCATTCCTCATGGTGGTGGTGGTCCGGGCATGGGTCCCATTGGTGTAAAGAAACATCTTGCACCATTTTTGCCCTCACACCCTGTGGTATGCTCTAAATTGCGCTTGCACCTTGTCTCTTATAAGATTAAAGGGTCTTGATTGACGTTCTCAATTCAATTTCCTGGTGGTAATAAATTCAGTTCATGATCATTGAGACCATCTTCACATTATTTACTGCTATCTTGAAGGTTCCATCCGGAGGTATCCCATCCCCTGAAAAGAGCCAGCCTTTGGGTACCATCTCAGCTGCTCCTTGGGGTTCTGCCCTTATATTGCCGATATCATATGCCTATATTGCCATGATGGGCTCAAAGGGACTTACTGAAGCATCAAAGATTGCCATCTTGAATGCTAACTACATGGCTAAACGTTTGGAGGTCTGCTACTTGTCATTCATTTATGTCAAAGTGTAAAACTGGGTTTAACACTTTAACTGACCCCAAACAGAACCTTAAGCGGTGAAACTCATCTCTCACTTATACTAGAAACTTAAACCTGGTGACTGAGTCACTCACATATGTACTAGATCCGAACTCAATAGACTTACAATGTGGAGGTACTCAACTAACCCTTCAGCGCAGTGTGGGTTGGACATCTGAAAGGTCGGACAAATGGGTCCAAGTTAATTCAAAAAATTATTTTCAAAATATGAGATTTACCTCGCACTTTTATTCTAGACTAGACTCTTACATAGTAGACAACCTGTGTGATACTCAACATTATCTAATTAAAATTTGCATGGATTTTTTTATGTACGTCAGCTGTCATTTTCTCATGTGTTGGATTGAACGCTAATTAGTTTTTTCTGCTTTGTATTAACAGAGCCACTATCCAGTTCTATTCCGTGGTGTCAATGGGACATGTGCTCATGAATTCATTATTGATTTGAGGGGATTTAAGGTACCTCTTCATAGAAATTACGTATCTCTGATGTATTTCATTTTGCTTCTGCATTTTAAACTTAACTAAGGATGGTTGACGGTTCAGAATACTGCTGGAGTCGAGCCTGAAGATGTTGCTAAACGTCTTATGGACTATGGATTTCATGCACCTACTATGTCATGGCCTGTTCCGGGAACACTAATGGTTGAGCCAACCGAGAGTGAAAGCAAGGTACTATGAAGATGTATTCCCTCTCCCTCTGTACAAAAATGGGTAGTCGTGAGTACTATTCTTTCTTCATACTGTATCTTCTATATTTTCTTATTATCTTAACAAACTCTTACAAGGGAAAGTTACACTTTTACCTTTTGTTTGTTTAGCATGATGGGAGGAGAGAAGTGGGGGTGATTTTTTTGCTGTTCAGATGGAGAAAGAAGACAGGGAAAATTACTTGTAGGACCAACTTCAAGATAACTCTATGTCTTTTTAGGAGAAACCAACTTGTCTTTCTTTCCTATTTCTCTCCACTGAAACAACAATTTTCTACTCATTTTCTTCTCTCCTACCTTACCTCTCCTATTTCCCTCTTATCCAAACAAAGCATTAATCCCCTAATTATTTTGACATTATATCATTTGGTTGCATGTCTTACAATTATGATAAATTATGTCCATCAGTTGTTATAATTTAGATAGAACTCTATTGTCGGATCAGCTATGGTTTTACTGTACTTTGTACCATTAAATACATAATCATGTTTACTAATGCTAAGTTAAATAGTACTACATTCAAAAAAGTAAGGCGAATATAACTTTTTAGGCATAAGAACCTGACAACCAATTGGAACAGAAGGAGGTTTTCTTTTTGCTCAGGTATGTCTTCTGATGTTATTAATGTCTTTTAATGCAGGCAGAATTAGACAGGTTCTGTGATGCACTCATCTCTATCAGGGAAGAAATTTCTCAGATTGAGAAAGGGGAGTTTGATCTTAGCAATAATGTTCTGAAGGTAATGTCATCTTTTTTGCAATGCCACTTCTACCTAGATAAACGTGCTAGAAGTTTTCGTTCTTTTCTTTGTCCGTGAAAGACTTCTTTAATTGCAGAATGCTCCTCATCCGCCACATGTGCTTATGGCGAATGAGTGGAAAAAACCATACTCTAGGGAATACGCTGCTTTCCCTGCTCCGTGGCTGAGAACTGCCAAATTCTGGCCATCAGCAGGTATTTCATTTGCTATTTCAACTAATGTTCACTGTATTTAAGATTAATAAACAAAATTTCAAGTAGTCATTAAAGGTTTCCAAGAAAATAAATCAAAAGAGAACTAATAAAACAAAGACAACACATACTCCTTTATCTTAAAAACAGAGCTGCCCCTTTTGAGAACTTATTTTTGTGTAAAAACAATTTGCAACAAAGGAAGGTTAATGTTATCATAAAAAATTGTGGTCTCTTCCAAAAAGGAAGTTAAATACTCCCTCCGGTCCTAAATAAACTTCACACTTTCCTTTTTGGGTAAGTCCAAAATAAACTTCACACTTCTTCTCCCTTCCTTATTTGGCAAATTATCTACATCAAAACAGTGCAAAACAGTGCCAAACAGTGTCAGTGTCACAACAGTGTACTCTACAGTAAAGTCAAATTTATTTCCTTAATTTGTGTGAAGTCAAAGTGTGAAGTTTATTTAGGACCGGAGGGAGTATAATAAATGTGGCTAAAAGTAAAGGTAGGAAATAAGATCAATGAGAAATAAACAATTACCATGTAAAAAAGACTTTTAATCTTCAAAATGTTTAGGAATTTATTACTTTCACGTGGAAAACATCTGTCTATTTTTGCAAAAAAATGCTGGTTGTAAGAGACTATCAACCTTAAAGAGAATGAAGCATATGAACTTTTGTTTAAAGAACCGGATCAGACCGGGCGGGTCGGCCCGGTCACCCGGAGCCCAATCTGGTCCGGTAAGCCATCAACCCGTAAATGTGTCCAAACCCAGAATTACCCGCTAACCCGTCTAACCCGTCCCGTAACCTGGGATGGCCCAAACCCGGAAATTATGGGAAACCCAGAATTAAACACAAAACAGAAGGCAAGGGGGTTCGAACCGTGGTGGATAAGGTGGCATTCCGAACTCCAATCCATTGAGCTGCTTTAACAACTTGTGAAATATTTTTCTTTAACTATATATAATACTACCTCCGTCTCGGTGAACTTTGTCAAGTGCCAAGTAGGTGAGAAATAAGAATAGTAAAAACAGTGTGATTGAGATTGAAGAGGAGAGAGAAATGTGCAGAACCACAAATTAGTTGCTTTAATAGGAAAGTGTCAAAGTTTTTTGGGATAACCAAAAAGGGAAAGTTTGCAAAATCCAATGGGACGGAGGGAGTATATATTTTGTATACGTGAATAAGTTATATGCTTGCTCCTACTTTGTATTTACTCCCTCCGTCCTGCAAAATAGTTTCCGTTTTCCTTTTTGGACCGTCCCAAATAATAGTTCCCATTTCCTCTTTTGGAAAGTTTTGTGTGGTTCACATTCATTTACTTTTTTCTTACACAACCACAACCATACATTTTCATTTATTCTCACTTTCTTAAACTCCGATCCAAGTCGATGCGGGAACTATTTTATGGGACGGATGGAGTATTTTAATGGGCTTCTACTTTGTAATTAATAATGATAATAAAATTATACCATCATCAGTATGTACTATTGCTATTATTATACGTCAAAGTATTGTATACTAGTAATATTTTGTATTTTTTAATAAGCATCACATTCTTATTTATTGCCCATCTAATTTAAAATACTTATTAAAGTATGTATATGTTAGAATAATAATTTTATTATATATGTTGACCGGGTTTTCCATCTTTGATCGGGGTGACCCTCCTGGTCTGGGCTGACCCGTGACCCGGTAATGCGGCCGGGTTGCTTTCCGGTTCGGTTTTTACTTTTTACAACATAGATATGAACCTGCTGCCGTGAATTTTATAAATCTGGAACAGCACAATTGAATTTTTATTTGGCCATCCAGTTCTGTATTTTATTTTCTACTTTTTCATGTTTTGCTAATCGGTGAGGTATGAGTATGTGACAGGGCGGGTTGACAACGTGTATGGCGATCGCAACCTCACTTGCACTCTTCCACAGATGGTTGAGGAGCAGCAGCAGGCTGCAGCTGCCTCTGCTTAAAAGATGGCATGCAGGCAACATTCCCCTCACACGATGACACAGTACTGGAAGTATATACAAGGAAGACCACATTTCTATGGGGGTTCCCTTATAGTACGAATTACTGTTTTTTTCTTTCTTTTTACATCGATGATGCTTTGCTTTGACCCGCTGCTCTGTTTACAATTGTTTATAAATAATCCTCCCCCCATTTCGAACACCAAATCGCAAAGCATTGATTCTTGGGACCGACCGATTTGTAATTCTCGAGTTTTCACACATAGGCCCCACAATTATTATTTCATAGGATCCATATCAAATGTTATTCGTTATAACTTGCACCCCATTACTAATAACTAGAGGATGTTCATCCACTACCTTCTCATGGACTCGTGCAATTACTTCATTTGATCCATCTTAAATATTTTGCACATAACAGTGTCGTGATTTCATAACAAAAACCATAACTGCTCACTGTGTTATTACCTGCTTGTTCCTTTAGAGTTTAGACACTGCTTGGTGCAAGGACGGAAGGGAAAGGAAGAATTTTGATAAACATTTGTATTTGGTTGGAGGAAAAGGGAGAAAAGTTTGATGGAAGCGTGTACCGTACAACTGGCTGCATGTCTGTCATTGTACAGTTGGTGGCAATTTTGTAATATTGGTGAAAATCACGACTTCTCTTAAATGAGCGTTGATGCAATTTTGGTGAGAATCAAACCTAGGGATGGTCTCGGCCGGGTCAACCGGCTCGTAACCGGCCCTGCCCGGTATTGTTTCGGCCTGGCTCGGTACTTGGGCCCGGTCCTATACACCCGAACCGCCAGTTTTTGGGGTGGGCTCCAGGTTTCCAGAAAGAAAATCGGCCCGGCCGATCTGAGTCCTTTTTTCCCACAATCTTTGGGAGGTAAATGGGTTGGGGACTTGGGGTGGGTATTTTGGAGGGGTTTGGGATGTGGGGGGGGGGGGGGGGGGGGTAGGAAGTAATTTGAAAATAAAAAAAATCAGGTCAACCGGCCTGACTCGAATCAGGCCCGACCCATACCCGGTAGCTACCTGGGCTAGTTTCGGGCCTCAAGAAATCAAAAAAACTTGGTCCGACCTGGACCGGTCCGAGTCCATGCCTAATCAAACCTTCTCTTTTGAGTATTAGGAACGTAAGGATGAACATTAGTGATTTTTGTTTCATATCTTCTAATTCACTTTCTTTTTAAGAGAATAAATAAAATACTCAGAACTTTCATCAAGTGTGAACTCCCTACCCTATACTTGTCTTGTTTAAAAAAATACCTCACTATTTGAATTTGAGATATGGGTACCCCATCGTACCCATCTTAACCTTTTTGAATTTATTTTTGAATTTGAAAGTTTTTAAATAGATCCAGTTGGCAAAAAAATCCACGTTAGCTTACCTCGGAAACTCCTCACTATTCGCAAATTATACCGTGGGATCGGCCCACCGTGCGCATGGGGTGTCGATCCCAAAATGGCATCATTTTATTGATCACAGAACAGGAGCCGCTTCATCAATCGATCGATTAGGGAGCAAAATAAAAACAGAGCATCAACGTAAATCTTCTTGGGATCAAAAGAACATCGATTCGCAAATAAAAAAGAGCGGCATGAGACTAGGGTTGGATTCGGTTCGGGTCACCCGGCCCGGTACTGTGCGGGCCCGGGACCGGCCCAGTCGGGCGGTCCGGGACCGGCCCGGTCGGGCGGTCCGGGACCGGGTATGGACCCGAACCGGTGGGAATGGGTGGGGCGGGCTCGGTGCTGGATTAATGTGACCCGGTCCCGGGTCCGGTCTTATTTAAAATTTTTTGTTTTTTGTTTGGGCTCTTGGGCTACTAGCCGTTGGGGGTGGGGCTGGGGACAACCCAAACGGCTATATAGCCGTTGGGTGGGGTAAAGGGGGGGGGGGGTCCGGGGGGGTTGGCTGGTGGGGGGGTGGTGGGGGGGGGGGGGGGTGGGGGAAAAAAAAACCTATAAATACTCCTAATCTTAAACATTTTTTCATATCTCTTCTCCAATTCTTCCTAAATCCTATTCTTAACTCTCTACTCTCTAATTCTCTTATTCTCCAATATATTATATTTATTATTTATATATCTACTTTATAGTTTATACTTAAGAAGTTAAGATGGAAAATCAAGATGCCATTATACGGTATAATTTTGATAAGCAGAAGGACCCGAAGACCGGGATGTGGTACGCAATTTGTAAATAGTGCGAGAAAAAATGTAGCATGGGGGTTTCAGGCGGATTCGGGATGGCAATCAAGCATATGAAGTAATGTGACAAAGCCAAAGGATCGGGAGGTGCGGGAAGTTCCGATTGATTACAATTTTCAAAATGTTTCTCTTAAAGTTTGTTTTAATTTTCAAATGTAGTTCCTATCTCATTTCAAATAAATGCAATTGAAGTTTGTTTTTAATACTCATATAAAACTATAAACTATAAAATATAAATTATAAAAAAAAATTAACCGGCCCGGATCGGACCCGACCCGTGACCCGGGCGGGTGGCCCGGCCCGAACCGGACCCGTCCAACCCTCGGGCCGGTCCCGGGCCCATGTCATACAACCCGGCGGCCCGACCGGGCCTAGGCCCGACCCGGCCCCGACCCGGCCCCGACCCGGCCCGAGTCCATCAATACATGAGACTGGATTTCTCCATTCTCTTGATGTTGCAGATTAATCCTTTCAAATCGCTGCCATCAACCTGCAGGCAGTCCTTCAATAAGCAACACTCCTTAACCTCTTTCCTTACCAGCTTCATTAATTCGACCAAAGCACACTGAATTTCCATCATTTTAAATAGAAATAACTTGCAAATTGACTAAGTGCCTTTTGCAGTCTACAAGAAGGTGTAGTTGTATACTAGTGTGTATTTTTGGCCGGAAGTTACATGTTTATAAGGCTTTTTACATTTCAAAGGACTGAAGTTACATTTCCCATGTTGCATCTGACTTGCTTCTGAGTTACATTTCAATGAATTACATTTCAATGAGTATAATTTACATTTTATAAACCTTAAGTTACACGTGAATTCACACGGTTTACTTTTATGTAACCTTGGGAGCAGATGCTTACCGTGCACAGCTCCCGATGTATAGCAATTGCTCGCTATCTAACCACCCACACATATCTTCATTTCACAAGAAGCCATGAACGATTACAGCCCTGGACAAAGAAGATTGTCATTGGCTTCTTCTTGTGCTCTCTGCCGTCTCCCAGGCCTTTCTCTCCGTTCCGGCTCACCGTCAATTAGATACAAAGGCTTACCCGCCCAAAATCTTGCATCTTCGTCTTCTTCCAAGACCGGAACTCGGAAGATGCCGATACATGAATGTATCAGTCCGACCGCTTCTTCAAAATCCCAAATTCGAAGACCTTATATTTCTGAAGGCACCACTTATGGCTTCGTTGTTTAAGGGGTGTTTGGAGCTGCTTCTACTTCTGTTTCTCTTTTAAAGAAGAAGTAGAATCAGAATCGGTTTTTCAGAAGTAAATTTTTAAAAAATTGATTCCAGGAGTAAATTTGAGCACCAGAATCACTTCTTCATTTTCACCCAAATACTGCGAATTCTGTTTCTGCTCCCTGAAGAGCATAATAAGTTTTTAAGAATCAATCCAAACATCCCCTAAATCATCGCTAGTTTTATTTCTCATGTGGTTCGGCTCTCACGAAGGCCTTAATCGTCCCCTGTCTGCAGAGAGGTTTCTGTCTTAGATGCTCTTGAAGAAGACTTCAACTTGGTCCTGGAAAATGTTTAATGTCTGTTCAGAGAATGCAAAGGAGACCTTCAGAATTTTGAGTGTCACTATAATGTTTAAGTCTTCCCTAGTGGGCCTAAGTGTATTCCTTCCACTTCTATGTATTCCTACTCTTGATGTGTGTGACCAAACATTACATGTGCAGCACTTGAAATTTGGCAGTGGACACAAGACTATGGCAATAGGAGAATGTTTTGATAAATGCTGAAATTATATGCTACTAAAAGAGAAGAAGAATGTAGTTAAGACTGAACTGATGGTGCTGCAATCTGATTTCGAGAACATGAAAGCCATTCATATATCAAAGATAGAGATTGAGATGTATTAGCTAGATTTGTAGTACTTGGTTTTGTCTCTGTTTGTTCACTTATTATAAGTAAAATGTACTGAGTAGTAGTTTTTTATAGCTATTAAGAGACTGAATACTAAAAGGAAACTGATGGTGAAAATGAGTATTTGATTGCACTGGAATTTGTAGGAGAAATACTGTAACTAAAACAATACTATTGATTAATACAATTCTTTTTTTTTGGTTAGTGGCATTCTGTTTTTTTTTTTTATTTGAAATTGTGGCATTCTGGTTTTCTAATGCTATTATACAAGCCTTGATAGTACATGTCTGCAAAATCAGGCCCCAAGTATTTAAATTTGCACTAACCACACCAAAACCATTAACTACATACTACAAAACCAGTAAACAATATAATGAACAAAAATCAACACATGATTTCTTTGATCGAGTGTTTGTGTTTAAACAACAAAATAACAATCACAGGCTTACAACATGGCCTTTCTATAGTAGTCTAACAAAAAATGATAAGCAAAATACAAATCAATGCATGACTTGTACATAGCAGGCTGCCAAACAGGACATTTACATAAACAGGTATGTACCACAAAATAGGCTACACCAGCCTACGCAAAAGAAATACCTAAGACTAGTTTGCACAAAAAAAGACCTAACATTGGCCTATATACAAAAGTGGTCTTCATATAGTGAAAAGCATATGCCCCTCATCTACGGATCATATTTGTTATGGACAGGGCCGTAGCCAGGAGTTGGGCTAGGCCGGTACAAAGAATTTTTACACATAAATTTTTACATTAAAAATATAAGCAATTTTAAAAGAGTTGGCTCTCCAAATTGTGGATGCTAGATTGGTCGTTTCTTAAAATTGGGCCATAATTTATTGCATCGTTGATACATTAATGGCGAGTGCTCGAACTATGTCCTCCGTGGACATGTTTGAGTTTGAGTTTTAGCCTTGGAAAGGTTGTTTGTATGGTTGAGAGGAAGGATTTGATTGTTGAGTTTGTTGAGAATTTCCATACCTTAAGTTCGGATGATCCCTCCGTCCTGGATTGTACACATATATGTATTACCATGAGGGGCATACCCCCATTGAGCTTGGAATCCCAATGCATTGACTTGTTCGGGATTCTCCTCATGTAGTGTTGGACACGAATCGGTGGGATGTCTTTGTGTTGAACATATGCCACGTACCTTGACTTTTTGGGTTTTGGAATTTAAGAGAAAATCTTTTACCAAAGAAGTCAAGCCGGCCACTTGACTTTCCAACAATGTGTTGGATTCCGCCGCCATAACTCGTTTTGTTGATAACCGCCTACCATAGTGTCTACAGTTATCG